TGGGGTGTGGGGCTCCTGGCTCGGGGGGAAATGGGGATTTGGGGGGATTTTGGAGGGATTTGAGCAGGAATAAGTGGAGGAGAAACACCCTGGACCTCACAATGTAGCGATGGTGATGGGTGAGCTCATCCCAACCACCAGGATGCTCCTAAACGGGCACCAAGGGGTTATCACCTTGGGGAATAAATGTATTAGAGGGATAAACCAGAGCTGGCCCAGCCTCTGAGGTGCTCCCAAGCGGCCACCACGGTGGTATCCCCCTCGGGGGTGACAAACTGGAGCTGCTGGTGTCCCCCCAGGGCAGAGCGGGCTGGGGAAGTCCACGATGGTGAACACCCTCTTCAAGTCCAAGGTGAGCCGCAAAGCCTCGCAGCCCGGCCAGGAGGAACGCATCCCCAAGACAGTGCAGCTCCACTCCATCACCCACGGTAAGGTCACCACCTTAGAGGCCTCAGAGCCACCCCCTGGTCCTCACTGACCCACGTCTCTGCCCCCCACCAGTCATCGAGGAGAAGGGTGTGAAGATGAAGCTGACGGTGACGGACACGCCAGGCTTCGGGGACCAGATCAACAATGAGAACTGGTAGGACACGGTGGGCTGCAGCATCTCAGCTCGAGGAGGTGGCAGTTTGGGGTGGGGGTTGAGCTTGGTTGGTGTTCTCCAACTCCTCATCCTCAGCTGGGACCCCATCATCAAGTACATCAACGAGCAGTACGAGAGGTACCTGCGTGAGGAGATCCTCATCACTCGCAAGAGGAAGATCCCAGACACCAGGGTCCATGGTTGTGTCTACTTTGTGCCCCCCACGGGTCACTGGTGAGTCCCCACTCACAGCACCCATCAGTGTTCCTTGCACGGTGGTGGGGTCACCCCACGGTGATGGTGGTGAGGGTACCCCTTGGTGGTGGTGGTGGCATTACCCTGGGGTCATAGCGGTGTGGGTCACCTCAGGGTGATGGTGGTGGGGGTCGTGCTGGGGTGATGGTGGTGGGGTCATACTGGGGCGATGGTGGTGGGGTCACCTTGGGGGGAGGGGGCGTGAGGTCACCCCAGGGTGGTGGTGGTGGGGTCACCATGGAGTGTGACAGTGGTGGGGTCACCGTGGAGTGATGGTGGTGGGGGTCACCTTGGGATGTGGCGGGGGGTGGGGGCCCCCTGGGGGGATGGGGGGGGGGGACCC